TAATAATAATAATAATAATAATAATAATAATAATAATAATAATAATAATAAATAATAATAATAACAGTAATAATAATAGTAATAATAATAACAAATAATAATAATTAATAATAATGATTGATAATAGTAACAAATAATAATAATTAATAATAAGGATTAATAATAGTAACAAATAACATTAATTAATAATAATTAATAATAATAACAAATAATAATAAAAAATGATAGTACTTAATTAATAATAACAATAATACTTCGGGACCAGTCTTCACTGTTAGACTGCAAACGACAGCCAATAAAAAAATACATATCGAATACATTTCCAAAAACAATCTTTCCCAAAAGTGTCGTCAAAATTGGCGCGTATCACTTCCATAAATTCTCTAATAACTAACATTTTCGCCTAAAAACTTTTCCTTGTAAATGTCACAGTTATTGTATAATCGTGGTCCAAAGTGAAATTGCTTTCATCCGACCCCGGCCTCCCCACGTACGTCGCGTCACCCGCGGGTGCATCCCGAAAGAGACAATAGGCAGCCGTGCCCGCGGCACCGCACAGTTGCCGCATTTTCGCGTGCGGGCGCGTTTCGAATAGCGAGCGCGGCCCGATTGAAAGCGGAGTAGTAGTAGCTGCGGTTTCGAGGAGGCGCCGGCAAAGAAATCGGAGCTCATCGGCGGGCCGGTTGTTCAAACGGAAGCCAGCGGCAGCGGCGGAGAGGGGGGAGAGCGTACGTGGTCGGCGAGAGGTGCGCGCGCCGCGCATGCGTTCCGGCCTTGCCTAGATCTCGTACGCCGGGCACGGTTGTCCCGTATAAATCACAGGTTCGCTCGTCCCTCCTGGCCTAACTTGAAAAGCGCGGGTCCGCCGTCTCGAATAGCTGCTTGCTGGCTTTCGCGAATAAAACGTACGACGACGAAGATGCCCGAGATCCGAACGACGCGGCGCCGTGGAACTCGCAGTTCCGAACAGAGAAAAAAAAGAATGTATGAACCGCGCCGGATCGAATGCAAAGGAGCAAAGATTCGAGTCTTGATTCGGTCGGCAGAGCCCTTTGATTCGTCGAGAAGCCTCTCGGAGGCGCCTTTTTACCGGGCGACGGCGGTTCTCGAGAACACTCGGCCTGGAATCGAGAGCAACTAGGGCAGCGAAGCCGGTTACTGTGCCGTCGGTCTGCCTTCGGGCGTAATTAACTTTATATTCATCGAATATGACGTAGTTTATTTTTTTATTCTTACATTTCGTTCATTCCTAAATATTTAGCGAATTTTTATTGAAGTTATTAATTTGTTATTGTTTAGTTATTAAGCTATTAATTTATTATTATTTAGTTATTAAGTTATTCATTTATTATTATTATTATTTAGTTATTAAGTTATTCATTTATTATTATTATTTAGTTATTAAGTTATTCATTTAGTATTATGTAGTTCTTAAGTTATTCATTTATTATTATTTAGTTATTAAGTTGTTCATTTATTAAAGCCAATCTTTGTTAAGCTTTTTATTCAAGAATAAACAAAATGAAAGAGTAGGACAATTTAATATGTTTCGCTCGATCAATAAATAGTTAATTATTTTCGAATACGAACCAAAGGCACGAGAATTGACCAGCCCACAGTAACGGGCTCCATTATCCTACCGGTCGACAATGTGTTCTCGCAACAATTATTCTCGCTTGGGCGTTGATCGTCATTGTTCTCGCTGCAGAGATTTAAATAAATTAATTCTTCTTCTTTTTTTCTAAATCTCTTGATTTTGGTAATAAAATCGAAATATCATGAAAAGCTACTACAATTAACTTTGATTAGGTTTTAATATTTGTGACTCGGCAGTCGATATCGTTAACAATAGAAACGTATAATTATTGACATTCTTTGTGTCTGCGATCTATAATGTTTAACGTTAATACCATTATAATAATATATATTAAATGAATATAAATTAAATATATATATATTTATCAAATATAATAATAATATATATATATAAATTAAATATTCTTTTTCAAACAAAATAGAAAGCGTACGATCAAAAATAGCAATAACCCACCCCTTGGACAATAAAAAAAACTGTCTACCTAAACCTAGCACGCCACAACACTTTTTCGTCAAATTATTTTATTTTCCCTGGATATCGCAGTCAGCTTTTTTCGAAGAGATGTTAGAGGAGGATCGATCGCAGCAGTCGTCCACCACATTCCAATCACTTCTAACTCGTAAAATCTCGGTCCTCGAAACGGAGCGAGCAATCACGGCGATGGACGGTGCGCGCTGTTGCCTTTCTCATTTTTTTTCTTTTTCCGTTTTTTTTTTTTTTGGTTTTTCGAAAACCAGACGACTACGAGGTAATCAATTAGCCCTGGTTCGGTGCGGTTCTCGCTATCCATGTAGAACCGAATTAGTCTATATCTCGAAGATAGGAAGTCGGCGGCGGCGAAACCGCTGGCAAAGGCGGTCGAGACGGACAAATCGCAGCGTCGCCTTCTAATCAGTTCGTTCGGTTAAACCGGGGACGCGTTATGGCGCTCGTAGGCCCTAGGCAATTTTTCCCGATGCCCGGACGTTAACTCTCTGCGGCTTGTCTTATTCGTTGAACGTCGCGGAGACTCTTTTTCTTTTTACAATAATTTGGTAGGTTGCATTTAAAAGGAAAGATTTCCTCGTGATTTTAGAGTTCAAGGAATTATTGATGATTAAGGAATTAAACTTACGGTCTTACGCATTTGTCACAAAAATGAGGGGATGAAAC